CCCCCCCCTGCAGACATCAGTTGAGAAGAAGTGATGTTTTTTCATTATTAAATCTGGAAACTGGGTCTTTGTTGAATTTAGAAAAGATTCAAAAGAGTCAGGAATATGCTCATTGGCTAATGGACTGTCAGAGCCCTCCTCCTAAAAAGGCAGACGTCATCATTATCATTCTATTATGTACCTTTCACTTTGCAGATAGCGTCCGTCCCAGAATCAAATTCATTGATCTTACGGGGGGATTGCATGACCGGATTGCATGACCTCACTTCTTAGTTCGATTTTCCATGCCAGCGATGTCATCCCACACCAATCTCTCACGTCTGTAATTATTCAAATTGCTTGCTCATTGGACCTCCCTCCGGGCGCCTATGTTGTTGCTGTTGTTGCTGGTGCTGTCGACGATTTCTGTTTCCTTATTTTAATGAACTAAACTAGTCTGAATAGTAAGTACCAAATTTGGAAAAAAAAACTGGAGAAACCTATCACGGAGCCATGCCCAGCATAAATGCATCGAAAAAAAAGAGCCATGCAAACGATGCGAACCCTAACTACCTGGATCTTACTCCCCCTGGACACATGCAATCTTTTTCCTTTTTTGTTTCGCATTGAACACGCAATCCCTACCTTCTTCCCCACAACATAATATTACTGTCTCATCATCACGCGTATACAACCCTTTTTTTTTTTTTTTTTTTTTTTTTTTTACGCGTATACAACCCTGTTCCAGACCAAATATAATCATGATTTGGGGGAAATGTTCTTGCGCGAAGCAGGTAGTGGGACCTTTGCCTCCCCCTCGACAGAAGCAGGCTTTCCCACTCCTTCAGTTTGGACTCGCTAGGTGTTCACCACCCCTATCCTGCTTCCTACATTTGGCTAGGAGGGATAGGAAAGCCTTAGGAAAGTTAAGATGTGTCTTGACCAGGGTTTGAACCGTCAACCTACTGATAGTGCAAACAGGTGGAGGTGGTGTACGAGTAGCAAACAAGCTGCGGCGTTGGGCACTGGACCCCCGTGTCATAAACAATGCGTTTGGTTTTGTCGATCAAAAAAGGGAGGCGGGGGGAACAGAAAAACAGCAGGACAAGGGGAAGAGGTAAGGAAGGGTGGTTCAGTAGAGCACTTACAGGCTCGGGATGTGCCAACTCTGGAGTAAGTGTTATGTATAAATTGAGTAAGCGAGGCTCTGTGCAGTGGAGTTGCCGGAATCCCAAATTGACAGGTGCTCCTGCTCCGCCACCCTCCCCTGGTCCCCTCAGATGAAATGCGCCTTGAAGACATTGTGCCCAGTAAATCGTATTCACAGGAATGCTGCGAACAAAAAGGCAAGTCCCAATTTTCAGTGTAGACTATGTTCCCGTTCGTTTTTGTTCGGCCCTTTTAGAGTGCCCATATTAGTGTTCATAGTAGTGTCTATGGATTAGTCGTGTCTACAGATTTTCTGTAGGCTAAGGTTACATTTGGTTTTAGCCTTTAGCAATATTGTTAGTTAGTTGCGGCCCTTGAGGGATTGATTCCAGATGAGAATAAGGAGTAGAATATTGCCACAGTCGTGGCCTGGGCTTTGCTTGGCCGGAGAGCCTTGCTCAGCCTCAGAGCTGTGGCGAAATTTGTGAGGGATGCTGGGCCTGGTTCCCGACACAGTTTTATAAATTTTGCTCCTTAAAAAAAAAAAAAAAAAAAAAAAAAAAAAAAAAAAAAAAAAAAAAAAAAAACAGAACATGTTCATGACATTTCAAAAAAAAACGCCGATTCATTTTATCCAAGGTCTATGGCCTCCAGAATTTTAGGAGAGGCTCGATATCCTTTTTGGGATGTACTGGTGGTTTTACAGACTTGAAAATCTATTTGTTGACTTCATTAAGCTGGACCCATTTTCCAGCACTGTGACTTCTGATTGCCTCACGTGCATGACTATTTTCTCAAACTCGCAAACTTTCAACTGTGTATTTCAGAAGGGACGCTGAGCCCGGTTCTCAGCACGTGATGCTCCCCACAAATAGATCGGAGCTTGTGTTAAAAAAAAAAGAAAAAAAAAAAAAAGAAGAAGAAGCATCTTGAATAAAATTTTCTAAACCCCCATGGTCTGGGCGCCAGATCCGTTAAATCCAATGGCAAATAGTGTCACTCATGTCACATTGTCGTAGGATTCTACACAGCCCCTGCTAGCGGGTCCAGGCCGCTGGGCCGGTAGCAAAAGCTGCAGGCCACTTTGAAAAGCCACAGGTGCAGGCTTGCGAGCATTGGAAGGTAGCTTGCTCAACTTCGACTCATGTGAACTTGTGCCCGTGCTGGTCGGCATGCAACCCCCCTCGAGCTATGGCTTGGGGAGGATTACTTGGTCGATGTGACTGGATACCAACTGTTACATGCCCAGTTGGGCGATGTACATATAAACCGAGGATCCGCAATGTGATAAAAAGGACTGAATGGACAATTGTTACATCTTCGAGTCACACGGGTCCTACCGGACCCGACTTAGGGCCGGAGGGACACACCAGGGCCTAAAGGCCCGACCTTTGAGGGTCACAGGCCCTAAAGGCCTGATTTTGCACTCAGCCCAGCGGGTAGGCCCAAACGACACTTTGTTTGGGCCTGGCG